GGCAAAGCCCTGGCTCGGATGATTTAGTTGGGAATTGGTCCTGCTTTGAGCAGGGGGTTGGACTAGATGACCTCTTGAGGTCCCTTCCAACCCTGATATTCTATGATTCTATGATTCTATGATTCACACATACAGAATGGGAAGAGACTGTCTAGGAAAGAGTACGGTAGAACGGGATCTAGGGGTTATAGTGGACCACAAGCTAAATATGAGTCAACAGTGTGATGTTGTTACAAAAAAAGCAAACATGATTCTGGGATGTATTAACAGCTGTGTTGTGAGCAAGACACGAGAAGTCATTCTTCTGCTCTACTCTGCGCTGGTTAGGCCTCAACTGGAGTATTGTGTCCAGTTCTGGGCACCGCATTTCAAGAAAGATATGGAGAAATTGGAGAGGGTCCAGAGAAGAGCAACAAGAATGATTAAAGGTCTTGAGAACATGATCTATGAAGGAAGGCTGAAAGAATTGGGTTTGTTTAGTTTGGAAAAGAGAATACTGAGAGGGGAAACGATAGCAGTTTTCAGGTATCTAAAAGGGTGTCATAAGGAGGAGGGAGAAAACTTTGTTCACCTTAGCCTCTAAGGATAGAACAAGAAGCAATGGGCTTAAACTGCAGCAAGATAGGTTTAGGTTGGACATTAGGAAAAAGTTCCTAACTGTCAGGGTGGTTAAACACTGGAATAAATTGCCTACGGAGGTTGTGGAATCTCCATCTCTGGAGATATTTAAGAGTAGGTTAGATAAATGTCTATCAGGGATGGTCTAGACAGTAATTGGTCCTGCCATGAGGGCAGGGGACTGGACTCGATGACCTCTCGAGGTCCCTTCCAGGCCTAGAATCTATGAATCTATGTGGTTGGATGGAATCTAGGCTTGTATGAGAAAAGCCCCTGCTGCTAACAGAGGTCGAGTGATGGTCTGTAGGAGAGTCTCCTTGCTCCTGACATCTAGGCTGAGGATGCAAAGATACCAGAGAAACATTTATAACTCTGTGATGGGTGCTGTATAAAACCTAAATAGAAGCTGTTACAGGATCCAGAGAATGAACTGGTTATCGGTTTGTTACAGCATCCTGCTGGGCAGGAGCCATCTTCAGTGGCATGGTGGAGGTGATATTAAGTCAATATGTAGTTAGAAACACAAGTTCGAAAGCCTAAGAATATGATGTTTTTAAGCGCCAAGCATCCATAATTCTAGTCAACAGGATGTTCATCTCTGAAAATCAGTTCTCAAACCTAGCCACAAAAATCCTGGAACTGACTCTACTAGGCAGCAGGGAGTCAGAATCAATACTTTTTTGTGCCCCGTATCTTCTATGGCACATGCCCTCATATGTGTTAAAGATATTGCCTGCTCACCACAGACTTTATATGCCAAATTTAAGATTAAAGGACTTATTAGGGACTTCAGAGGGGGTTCCAAAATTAGACTAATAATAGAAAACAAGACTTGGCCAATGCCTTGTATAAATCTTTGTGTGCACAAGCACTAGATTTGTCTTTCTTTGTCAGAAATGTATGGAAAAGACCATAGCTGAATGTGGCATTATCAATGATCTCATGTCATAAAAGTGGAATTACATTTAAGCTCTTATTTTATTTCATCCATAGATGGTGCATCATTTCCTCCTTTTGTAAAGAAGGACCGGATCCTGCGCTTCTTTTCCTCCGATATTTGCAGGTAGGACACTTGGAGAGATCCATATTGTGCACATATTCCTATGTGTGCTCACCAAAAATCATGTTATTTGAAAAACTATTTAAGACAGCTGCTGAAACTGCTCTGCTTGGTCTTGGGTCATTGAAGCAACTCAATAAACAAACCTTTGGTTTTAACCATGTGAATCTGCTGTGTTCATGATTGGCTGCTTAAAGTCTGATTCTGTCACGCTTAGTTGTATGAGTAGTGAGTAGTTGCAATGCCTCTGAGTCTCTGATCCTTTGCACTGGTGTAATTCAGGATCATAGAATTACAGTGGTAGATGTGAGAGGAGACTCAGGCCCATTGAGTTCAAAGGGACTATTCACACAAGTAGTACTCAGTATTAGGGTTGCAGAACTTGGCCTATAGCGTGCATTTACACGACAAGCAGCAGCCATGGCAGTGAGTCTCAGAGCCTGGGTCTACAGACTTGGGCTTGCGCTACAGTGCTAAAAATAGCAGTGTAGATACTTAGGCTCAGGCTGGAGCTCAGGCTCAGAAACCCACCACCCTCGGTGTCAGAGCCCAAGCTCCAGCTCAAAAGGTCTACACAGCTATTTTTAGCATCATAGCATGAGTCCTGTGAGCCCGTCTACAGACCCAAACTCTGAGACTCACTGCCATTGGTTGCTGCTTGCTGTGTAGTCATTCCCAAAGGGTCTGTCTTCATTACCGGCCAGATCGGTGGGCAGCGATCGATCCAGCGGGGATTGATTTATCGTGTCTAGTCTAGACATGATAAATCGACCCCCCGAGCGCTCTCCCATCAACTCCTGTACTCCAGCTTGGCGAGAGGTGCAGGCAGAGTCGACCGGGGAGCAGCAGCAGTCGACTCACCACGATGAAGACACCACGGTAAGTCGATCTATGTACGTTGACTTCAGCTACGTTATTCACATAGCTGAAGTTGCGTAACTTAGATCGATCCTCCCCCAGTGTAGACCAGGGCTAAGAATATAATTCACCCATGTGCATAGGGCTAGCGCGAGGTATTTAAACATTATTTTGAGGGCTTATGTGGAGCTTAACTGATGCACAGGTCATCTGTACAGGTGTGTATTTCACCATTCATAGCTAAATACACCAAACTGCTTTCTCTCAGAATATGATATATATTACCCCAAATATATAAATAATTAATAAAAAATAATAAATCTCCTTGCATTTTTTCTTTTCAGTCTTTCTTTTCTGCTTTGCCATACAATGTCCCTGAATACTCCAGTGGGATAATTACAAACACTGCTCAATAGATTTCAAGGAAACAGAAGTTTAATTCTTCCAGGTGACACATTTGCAGGCTCAACTTTGATTTTCAGTGCCGGGAATGAGCTTTTTCTTCTTTAAAATGCATCATTTATTTTAAAAGTTGCATTAAAAAGGATCAAGGTTTATAAATCAAATTCTTATCATGGAGCAGCTTGGACCCCAAAACTGAAATCTGCCAATCACAGCATGTACCTGGTGAAGAAGAGAGAAACTGTTTCTTCATTCAGGCTGTTGGACGCAGACAGACCTTGTCTGGTTCTTTGGTTCTCAGATCAAGTAATCATAGTAGCATCTTTCTAGTAGTACCACACTGGTCTCCCTAAATTCTGACCTAGTCTCAGCAGTCAGGGAAGGCAATGCTTGCCATAATATAGGACACGGCAACACTCAAAACACTGCTTTCTTCTAACGGCTTGTCTACACTAGAATGTTTTGCCACTTTAACTACATCAGTAACACCTTCCCCCACCCCCAAGTATGGATGCAGCTATATCAGTATAAAAGGGTTTATACCAGTATATCTTATTCCAGTTTGCCAAGTGAAATAAGTTATACGAGTATAAGGCACCTTTATACTGGTAGATCTATGTCCACAATAGGGCTTATACTGGTATCACTATATCATTAAAAGAAAATCACACCTCTGACATAGTAATACCATTAAAACTTTTCTAGTATATAGCCGGACAGAAACCACTCTGAAAGACTTAAAACATTCCATCACCACAGGAGCTGTAGATCTGTGCCTGGGAAGGAGTTGTTTATACATTTACTCTTAACTGTATATTTTTGTCTATGTTTCTGTATTTTATATAATAGAATCATAGAACCACAGGGTTAGAAGAGACTGCAAAGGTCATCTAGTCTAATACCCTGCCAAGAGGCAGGATATGTTATATCTAAACCATCCAAGACAGCTGGCTATCCGGCCTCCTTTTGAAAACCTCCGGCGAAGGAGGTTCCATGACTTCCCTTGGCAGTTTGTGGCATTGTCCTATTGTTCTTAGAGTTAGGAAGTTTTTCTTGAGATTTATAAAGTCACCACTGCCTGTGTCTCTTTTCTGGAAATGTCATGTACTCTTGTTCGTGGTCTGGGCAGTTCCACAAACTGCTAATCCAGGGCTAAGGGAGCCTGGAATCATCCGAGCAGCTACCAAGGGCACTTTATCATTTAAAAAACGAGAAAGGTAGGACGTCTCTATAATGCATCAGACATGAATGTGTATTAGCAACCAAAACACCTGTAAATACAATATAAACTAGAGACAAATGATACATTTCTCTTTTATATTCAGATCTATCTATGGCATATTTGACAGTGAGCAGATTGTGAAGGAAATCCCCCTGTATCGTTTTTCAGTTCCTCGTGCAGCATTTGCATCTCCTCTTGAAACTCCAGAAAATAAATGCTTCTGCACAGAAACTGTTCTGTCAAAGAATTGCACAGCATCTGGAGCCCTGGACATTAGCGCCTGCAAAGAAGGTAGAGTAATAAAATGTCACTAATCCAAACAAGCCATTTGGTCTGCGGGAAAGGATGGTTTTGTGGTTAAGGTACTAGACTGTGAGTCAAGAGACTTGGATTCAATTCCTGACTCTGCCACAGATTTCCTGTGTGACCCTGGGCACATAATTTAATGTCTCTGAAACATCGATTCCTTAAACAGAGATTTGAATACTTCTTTACCTTCATGAGATGTTGTGAAGATCAATTTATGAATGCTTCAGAAATGCTCAGAGACTGTGGTGATGGGGCTATATATCTAGCTTTGATGGTAGAAATATGAGAGATGCATAAGGAAGAGAAAAAGAGATGGAACTTTTAATACCATTTACACATTCAGGGCTAAATTATCCCTTGTCTCTGTGGGGGGAAGAATAAAAGGAGCTTCATCCACTGCATAAAAGCTTTGGATACTCACAGTTCCTGTGTTCATGAGATCTCATATACATGGTGTGATAACTATATGTGCATATATAGGATAAGAGCAGCAGCTGTTTAACTCAGTGTAGTTCCACTGGAGTAAACTTACAACTGGGAATTTGGCCTATATGCTGTAATTTTAATAGCAATTAATTTTACTCATGCAAATTATCTACATACCAATAGGATTGTAGGCCCTATAGAATCTCTCTCTGCTTTAGGTTTAGCAAATCTTCATAATGAATGTGTATATTTGTGTGCATATCATAGATATTTATTTATATATAAATCAATAAAATGTCCTCAGGTGAGGTACTTCAATAAGAGAAACCACACTAAGACTTGACTTTCCAATTTTGCTTGTCTTTTTATAATAGGAAAACCAGTGTATATTACACTTCCCCATTTTCTGTATGCAAGTGAAGATGTGTCCGAGAATATTGAAGGATTGAGTGCAAATAAGGATGAACACGAGACCTTTTTAGATGTAGAGCCTGTAAGCCAACATTTATAGTATTTATTTCTTGATAACCATGCACAGTATTGCTTTGCAGTGTAGTTATAATACTGATTCATTTCAGATATAATCGGAGGAGCCCATATTTTGGTGTTTGGGTTTTGCAGAACCCCATCAAATCTTATTCTGACCTCCAAAGTTTGGTAGCTCACATAAAAGTGTTAATTTTGACTCATCCCTATAGTTAACAGATTGGGGTCAGTATGGGTTGGCAAAATCTCAGTCAGGTTTTGGTTTTTACAAAACTATGCAGAGAGTCCATTTTCTACGGATCATCAACATTCGGAGAGAATTGGTTCAAAGAGTCTGTTTTTGCACACTCTCATTGAAAAAGGGATACTTGAAGATGCTATAGGAATAAATTAAGTTACACAGATCATGCTTTTTAAACACTTGCTACTTGTCATTCTAAATTGCCAAATGGTCTTTCTTCCAGCACAAAATACAAACATTTCTCCACAATACTGTTCAACTTCTCAATCTATATGAAACCAACTCAATTGTAAATCATAAACACATATGTAGAGCAGCCTAAGATCAGATGACCTTTTTAGGCAAACATATGCCATATGTAACACCACATCGTATGACAGTTTGGTGACCACAATCTTTGCTACAAATTATTGTGTCAAATACGATCATTGTCTTGTTCTGTGATCTCTATTCTATGTATGTATAATGTACAGTGATGAAAGTGGCATCCATGTGGTCTTATAGTTATATGCCATACATTTGAGAATTTCATCCATGGTGGGTGAAAAATCTGTTGGGGCCACATTTTCAACTGATGTAAATCAGTGTAACTCCATTGAAGTCAATGAGATTATTCTACTTTACACCAGCTAAGGATCTGGCCCAAGATTGTGTTTAAGCCAAAGTTGTTCTATTCCTCTCTAAGTTATCCCCTACAGAGCTCATCTATTTTTGCTGTGTTTTAAACATGTTTTGATTTTGTTGGTTTCATTAAGTAGTAAGTCTCATCTAAATTACAGTCACAGTTTAATTAAGTTGACCAAGTAATTGCAGTACAGCCTGTTCTGACCATAACAATGAAGCCTCCTGTTTATCTGATTCCAGAGTGCATTTGATTGCCACACATTGCAACTGTGATAAATTCCTAAATAAACATTTTTTGTTGAACCTCTGATTTTAATCAGCTTCAATTTTCCCTCCACTTAGGTCCTAGTCCCGCAAAGCATGTGCTTAACTTTAAGCATGTGGAGCAGTCCCATTGAATTATTTCAATCCAGCTATTCACATGCTTCAAATTAAACACTTTTTATACTGGATTGGAGCCTGGCTGAATCATTCAAAAAACAAGTTAAAGTGGGGGAAAACTGAACAGGCGACACCGACATGTTTAACCTTTAAAATGAAGATTAAGATTAACCTACGTGTCCGAGAAAGTAGTTGTGAGTCTCAGTCATCTTCCTAAGGTACAGATGTCCACAAAAACGATCTCTGCAATTGGTATTAATTAGAGGTGGTCCAAAAATGGAAATTCCACCCCATGGAAAATCTGAGACTTCAAAATTTGGTTTGTTCTGAATCAGGATGGAAAGTTGAAATCTTGGAATTTTTCACAAAACAAAATATCTAGAAATATTTGGTTTTGACCTTATAAATTATAACATAATGTAATATAACAAATATTAAAATGCTGAAGTCTAAGTGAAATATTTAGACTAGAGCTGGTTGGGAATTTTCTGACAAAATGTTTTTTTTGGTTGGGACTGAAACTTTTCATGGCAATGTATCCATTTCTCAGGTTCAGGATGGGATTTCTGGGGAGCAAGTGTGAGACAAGAGTAGTCAATAGCTGGATGGTCAGTGCACTCCCCTAGGTTGTGGGAGACCCAGCTTTAAGTCCTTTATACAAATCAGAGACATGAACTTGGGTCTCCCACATCCATGGTGAGTGACCTGACTACAGGTCTATGGACTACCCTGGGGGCAAAGATCCTCTCTCTCTCTTGTTTGTTTGCTTTTTGTTTTTGGTGACAAAATTTGAGTGGTCTCGTTTTCGTTTTGATGCGGAATGAGAGAAATTTAGAAAACTTAAATTTTCACGAAATGGAATTCTTGTTTTCTGGCCAGCCCTTGTTTTCACCTTATTGGAATGAAACATTTTGTCTTTATCGAAACAAAACATTTCAATTATTTCCTGCCAAAAATGTTGATGAAATTCCTGCAAAGTATTTTGAATTAATCAAATCAGCATTTTCTGATGGAAAATGGTTCTAATATTAATTTGCAACCTTGGTAGTCGTCTCAATAAAGACACAAGAACAGATTGGGCATGAAGAATGAAATGACCCTTTGACCCGTCAAAGTAATCCCAATGGTAAACAAGTTAATGAACAGTGTTAATTCAAATTTCTCTGATGTACCTATTCCAGACCTAAGCTTGTAGTGGCCACCATCACAAGCATTAATATCATTGTGGTTGTTTTATTTGTTTTGTTTTATTTTGTGTTTTCTCCTTTTCTACCTTTCTGGCTTTAGACCACTGGGTTTACATTACGATTTGCCAAAAAGCTGCAAATAAACTTACTGGTGAAGCCTGCACCAAAGATCGAGTAAGTGTTTTCTCTGTCTTTTGTTTCTAAAATACAGATACAATATTTTGTTTGTTAGCCCTTTTGCAATTAGGGTGACTGGCTCTACAAAAATGCTTGGTAGAGTTTCAATAAATATAACCTAAATATTAAGTATACATTTCATAATGACAGTATTATGATAGTGTGTCTCAGTTCTGCAGTATGGCAGCTATGTGTTTATATTCCTAAACCAACCCATTGAAGATTCCCAGCATTGGGGAAATCCTCGGGTAGTAAAGGAATGAAGTAGTTCTATACAGTTCACATCTCAGCAGTTGGCACAGGATACATGGCGAGGGTATCCTTACACCATAGTGATCTCTGAGTGCTAGAACGTCCCTTGGGAATTGGTGGGGGTAGGGGGAGACAAGGAGTAGTTGAGGATCTGGGCCCACAATATTACTATTAATGAAAGCAGCAGTTAATACGTAATCTCAGTGGTCCCTGAGACTTCCGAAGAAGATTCACTTGGTGATTTCCCCTTCCTCCCGGGCTCTGAACTTAATCATTGATCAAGCCCAACAGTGAATATGACTTAGGGGTCTGTTCTGCAGGATGATACATACTTTGGCCCTGATCCTGCAAAAGCACTTAAACATGTATGTGCAAATCTTTCAGCATGTGAATAGTCCCATTGATTTCAGTGAGGTTACTCAGGTACTTAAAGTTAATCACATGCTTAAGTGTTTTGCTGGATTAAGGCCTGAGTGCTCTGCAACTTGTAAGATCAAGTCCCTAATTTTTTTCCTACATTTCAGTATTTGCTATCATCCAAAAGGGAGCTTTTTGAAATAAAATATTAGAACACTTTCTAACAAGCTTGTAAGTCCATTGCAATCAGAAATAAATGTAAATATAAAAGGTGTGAAATTTTGTAAATAAAATCTTAAACATTTTCCAATTTGTGAAATTTAAAAATGCCAAACATTTCATCCTGCTCTGTAGCTCATAAAAAGCCCAAATATTTGTGAATGTCATGAAATGTTCCATTTTTAAGTGAAACAATTTGCTGATATTTATTTATTTTTAAATGTCCTTCAGCTCCAACATTTGCAAGGAGAAGTCAAATTTCAGATTTCTTGGGAATGTCTGGCATGCACTAGGGGCCTGATCCAATGCCCATTGAGGTCAATGGAAAGACTCTCATTGGCTACAGTGGGCATTGCATCAGGACTTAGAGTCATGTTATGAATCTACAAACAATAAATGGGATGAGACGCAAAAGCAGAATTATATAGTATATGGAGATTGTAAATAATATGATCATTCCAAAACTAGTGCCAATGAAAAAGATAACCGATACCGTACTGTGAGACGGTTGATGCAGCACGTTACACAGGAGACACACAGTATGTTTTCTTCATTGTTTTATTTAACTTTAAAACAAAAGTCATTCTGACTGAAAACTGTATTGAAAAAAATATATGAATGCACTAGTCTTGGAATGATCCCATTATTGTGCATGCATATATATAAATATTTGGGCGAGGTGATAGTGATGGCTTTCCCGTCAGACAAAATGTTTGATGCTTCAAAATGTTTTCTTATCTCAAAATATGATGAAAAACTGAAATCTCAAACATTTTTGCAAAACTAAAATCCAAAACATTTTTTCATCTGGGTCAACCAAAATGGTTTGCTTCAATAATTTTGAAAAATTTCATTTCAGTGTCAACCTTTTTTCCTTTTTCTTTACCTTTATTTTAAATTTAATAAAATTTAGAAATAAGAAGTTATTTGAAATCCCCAAATGGAAACTTTCTGGTTCCATATGATCAAAATAGGATGTTTTGATAATCTCAGTATTTTTTTACCAATTTTTTTTTGAGTCAGTGGTTTTGTTGAATTTGTCACTGTTTAACAAATAGTTTCACTTTCAACAAATATGTATTTTTTGACAAAAATGATTTGTTGAAAAGTTCCCAATCAGTGCTAATAAATACACACACACCTACATATGTGTACTTAATATTTTGAAAGAGATTATTGGTTCCATTCATGGTCCCTATTTTAAGTATAAAGTATATTTTTCAAGCTAGTAGACTCTTTCAAAATGGAAGAAACCTTTTAAATCTATCCACTCTATGTACACATGCATATTATCGTAATTATTATTTATATGTAGTAGCACCTACAGGCTTCAATCAGGGATCAAAATCTTATTGCACCTTAGGTACTATACATGCATTTAATTTAGAATACAATCAAAGAGCCACCTCCGACTCCACAAGAGATTTTAATCTAACTATATGATGAAAGGCAACAGACAGATTTGAAAAACAGGTTTGGGAAGGGCAAGGTAGAAGAGAAACAATTATGTAATAAACATATAGATGATCATACATAAATTATCTATCTATCTATCTATCTACTTTCTCATACCCAGAGTACTAGATGAAGGATGGTATGCATAACGGCTGTAGTCATAGGTGCCCACTCCGTGGGTGCTCTGGGGCGGGAGCACCCACAGAAAAAAAAATAGTGGGAGTTCAGCGTCCACTAGCCGCAGCTGTTTAGTGGCTTGGGGAGAGGATTGGGGAAGGGCAGAGACCAGCAAGTGGCAGGTGGGTGGGGCTTCAGGGAGCGGGAGGAGTGGGGCAGGAGGGGGTGGAGCGAAGGCAGAGTCTTGGGGGAAGAGTTGGAGTAGGGGTGGGCCTTGGGGCAGAGTGGGGGTGAAGCAGCCCCAGGGGAAAAGTAAAAGTTGGTGCCTACGGCTGAAGTTACTTATATACTTTCTACAGAGCAATGTGCTAGTTTGAATTTACTGGAGGTTTGCCACCTGAACACATACAAATCATACTTCCTGTCAATTTCAGCAAAGAGGTACAGGGGTATGAGAAATTGATAGATGGAAATTGTGACTATGCAATGTGCAGATAATGTGTTGTGGTTGTTTCAATTTTTTATTTCACTATTTGTTGCAGTGCTTTATCAAAACTTACAAAATCCTATATCTTTCCTGTTCTTTGGCTGAACGAGGTTAGTATGGTTTCAGTCTATTAAATCATTCTAATTATTTCATCTTTATTGGAAATAATCTGGGAGATTTACCAAAAAATAGTCTAGAGCCAAAATTTTCAGTCTTGTTTGCTTGAAATCAGGCACCTATAGCTAGAGCCACAAAAGCAGTTAGACACCTAATGTCCACCTTAGGTGCGTAAATCCAACAGGAGGGGTCACTGAGATCCTGAAAACCCCCACTCAGCTGCTTCCGAACACTGTAAACACCTAAAGTCATTAGCTGCCTAAGTTTCTTCCAGTGAGCATGAGCACAGCTACCTCAGTCTAGGGCCTCAGGCTCTTACCTCAGACCTGAGTCTCAGCAGCTTCATCAAACTAGATGTTAACCAACCTGTCTCGCCAGTGGGGCCCAATCCAGCAGGCATTTTGAGCGCAAGCCTCCAGCCTCACAAAACAGCTGGAGGAGGTGATGGAGGTTGTGGTTAAGGTATTCTCCTGAGATGGGGAGACCATTCTCCCCAAATCCCTTCTCCACATCAGGCAGAGAGAAGACCTGAACTCAAGTTTCCCACATCCTTGATGAGCGCTCTGATCCCTGGGCTAAAACTTGTTTGCAAGTCAAAAGTTAGGCTTATGCACTTTACTCCAGGAGAGGGCACACAGCTGAGAATCCCAGTCGGTGACAGGCTCCTCCCTCTCCCCTAGACTTAGGTGCCTAAGACCCATAGGGGGAGGGGCTTAAGAGCCACTCCTCTCCTTGGTATTTCCCTGCTCAGCAAGCTGACTTTTGCAGATCCCATTCTTAGGTGTGTATCCCTCCATAGGCACTGTGTAGGGAGCCTGGGCACCTAACTCAGGGCTGTGGATTCCACTGGGTGGCAGGGCAACAGTTAGGCATTGCAATGCTGAACATTGCAAGGCCCAAGTCCCTTTGTGGATATAGTCCTTAGATCCATGTATGTGATAACATTATATGCAATCACATTGTCTGTAACATGTATATGTTCCATGAGAAAGGACTGTAAATGCTCTTGCACTGTTTCAGACGGCGATTATTGATGATGAGAAAGCAGCAATGTTCAGATCAAAAGTGATCTCTCCAATCAAGCTGCTGCACTTGCTGCAGGTGGTGCTGATCATAGTCGGCAGCATGATGTGTCTTGTGTTAGGTGTCTCATATTTCATATGCAGATCGAATAAATTAAGTAAGTAGATCTCTGGTGCTGCTTGCGCAGCCCGCCATAGGAGCTTCACTAGAGTAATGACTTTAGCTTAGGATTGCCAATTTTGTTTGGATGGAGGTTTCATCACATGACATAATCTTTAATGAAAGTTAATCTTTAATTCCTGGAGACTCCAGGACAACCCTACAGGATCGGCAGCCCTACAGTTCCAGCCCCAAGAATTATTCTAAATTCCAATCAACCTCAACACTTATCCTTTCAGTTTCGAGTTCTGGTTTTTCCTTTTGTAAAGGTCCAGCATTTTTCAGTTGACATTTACAAATTCTGTTCCTAGCCCTATTCAACCAAGGTGCTATTGACAGATTGAAATTCATGCAAGATAAGACTTTGGGAATTGGGTGACTCCAAGAGTGATGTCTTGTTTTCAATGAGTTAATGGGGCTTCTATGATCTGAAAAAAAAACCATGTGTGTTGTCCAGAGCTATTCCACAGATCAGAATGGCCTCCTTGGCTGCTCCACTGTCCATCTATCTGGTAGAATGTCAGGTGAAGCCACATAGTTACAGATGCACATGATCTCCTAGTAGCAAGTCCCTGCTGGAACCCCCAAACCTCCAGTGCACTGCAGTGCAGGCCCCCTCTGTAAGCAGAGTGCTCAGGATGCATGGATCTCTTCCATAGGGTTCCCAATTCTCCCTGATCACCATTCTGCATCAGAACCACACCAGTTTCTCTGGGTCTTGGCCCTCTGTAGCCACGGAGAATAGGACTGGACATGGTCCTATAATGCAGAAAGAGGTACAGCAGAGTAGTCCAAATAATCGCGGTGGATTTGTTATAAGAGTTTAGATGGGGATTTTTGGGTGATTTGAAGGAAACGAGGGAGTGTATAACATCAACTTCTATCAATAATATCAGAGTACAAATATCATATCACAGAGCAGTGGATCCCATAATATAAAACAGGAGGTTTTCAGTTCCCACAATACACTTTTCTCTCAGGTCAAATGGGCTAGCCATTTTGTAGGAAGAGGTGTATACCACATGATTAATTAACTTTTGGCTTTTTCCATTATAGGTAACAAAAGAGATTACATGTAGGCAATAGTTACTTCGAATTTCAAACAAGGAGTTTGTAAAATTCAGTGGCAAAAGAATCTGGTCTTACGATATCGTATATACACATAACAGGCTATGGAATGAATGTGCCTTTCCTTTCTGTGAAGAATGTACAGAATCCAGCTTCTCAACCATCAACGCCTGATCTTTCAAAAAGCCCATTTTTACAACCTCATATTCCGAAACCACTATCATGGTACAAACCTCTAATACAAATAGCATATTAGCAGGTGAAAACTGAAATCCAGTTTGGAATCCAATCCACTTTCTGCCATTTATAGAACTTGCTTGTTCGCTTCTCTTGGGACTGTGAGAATAGGAGTAAAAGCCAGTTGCTGATGTTCTGGTTCTAAGTATGTGGGATGGTGACCTCATCAAGCTCATGCAGTGCCCTAGAAGTTATTTTTCCCCATTCCTGCAAGCAATGGAAGTTGCTGCAGTAGAACTGCTCTCCTGTCTTCAGAGATGTGAATTTTAAAGACTATGAAGTTTATTATGTAAAGTGTTAACCATAATATCTGAATGTCAATAAAGGGTTTCTGAAAAGCTTTATTTTAAACTATGCATGTACAGACATGAACAAAATACATGCATGAATGCTAACAGTGGCTGATCCATAGCCACAAACTGCTTCCTTTCTAAACATTTGTGCAGCAGTCCCATCCCCGTCCTTGGTCCGCTGTGCTCTCCTTCACTCTTTTCACCTTAACTGCTGCTTCTCTTTCTGGCACTTCCTTGGCCAATAGCTTGGCCCCTACCAAATTCATGGCTGTGAAAAATCACCCTATACTATACAGATTTCACAGGGGAGATCAGCATTTCTCAAACAGGGGGTCCCAACCCAAAAGGGGGTTGCGGGGTGGGCAGGGCTCTCAAGGTTATTGTAGGGAGTTTGTGGTATTGCCACCCTTACTTCTGTGCTGCCTTCAGAATTGGGTGGCCGGAGAGCGGTGGCTGCTAGCTGGGCACCCAGCTCTGAAGGCAGTGCCGCCGCCAGCAGCAGCGCAGAAGTAAGGGTGGCAATACCACGACCCTCCTACAATAACCTTGTGACCCCACTGCAGCCCCTTTTTGGGACAAGACCCCTACAGTTTCAACAAGGTGAAATTTCAGATTTAAATATCTAAAATCAAGAAATTTATTATTTTTTAAATCCTATGACTGGGAAATTGACCAAAATGGACCATGAATTTGGTAGGGCCCTACCGATAGCATTTACCCCTACAAAATAAATTCTGCTTCTTTCAGTCCCTTCTGTCAAGTTCTGCTTTCATGTCCTCTACCACCAGCTTAATACTTAGGGGATAAAGGGACTCTTGCTTCTTCTCAAATTTCCCCCCAAAAAGAGCAGCAGATTCCAGGCCTGCTTCATCTCCCCCACAGGCAGGAGCGGATTCTAGAGAAGACTGGCAGACCCGCTAGCATTACCATGACCCATTGGCTTTGGTAGAGTATCAGGCAGTCCCACTCTCCAGATGTGGAAAGGAAGGAGGTGTCCACAAGCCCATTCCCTTTCAGCTTGTACATGCACAAACTGCTGTTTAACAGGAAAATTCAACCTGGGTGCTGATCCTGTAGTCACTGAAGTCAAGGCAGGCTGTTGGATTGTCTTCAGTGGATGTGGATCAGGTGTCTGGCGAGCTCCCTACAACTCACTGTGACATCAACAGGTCAAATCCTGAGAGGCACTGAGCACTTGGAACTTTCATTCCCTCACTGGATTCAATGAGAGCTGTGTGAGTGCTCAGCAACTTCTCAGGACTTGGTTGATTTGTCCTCCAAGGTGAACTGCAAAGGAAAAATAAATACTGAGGACATATTCACAGAAATACAGCCTAAAATGTTTAACAGCGTGGCCTGGCATGCTAAAACATTGCTCACAACTGGTGGTGGGAAGGAAAAGAAATTGATTGAAATGCTATTCTATGTTTACAGAACATTGTGCTTGGATTAAAACATTTAGCTCCCACTGAAGTCAGCAAAAACTGACCAGGTACATTGAAGGGTACAATCTGACCCTTTGTACCATGACCCTTTGTAACAGGTGTGCAATAAGCTGTCAATTCTAACTTTACTTTAGCATTTGTCCAAAACTGCAGTAAGAGCTGTATACATACAATACTATTCTTCTTTCCTCTGAGTTTAGCATATGTTGATATTGATATATAATATATTAAACACTTGGAGATCTTTTTTTGTCAGTATCCCAGAGTCAGAGCCATGTGGCTAGATAAAAACAAGCCCACTAATGAAATACCGAGAAAAGCACTCAGTGTGCATTGGTAACTACAGTAAACATTATAACCACAAGGAATTAGAGCTGGTGGAATTATTAACTTCTAATGGTGGACTAGATCCTCAGATGCTGTAAACTGACGTAGGTCCATTGAAGTCAATAGAGGCAAATGGCTTTACAGCAAAGGAGGCTCTGTCCCAGTGATTCTTGAACAATTTAGCTCTGTTCCTCTTTGCTAAACATTTGCATCCTGATCCTGATTGCTGGTAACATATTGCTATGTGTAAGTTCTTCCTGAATAGGTTTTGTAAGCAAACTGCAGCCCATGTGTTTCTCATAAGCTGTTTACGCTGAGTCTGTTCTCCACTGCTTTGTACCTTGTGTACTCATTTAACTCTGGGCGAAATTATTGGAAAGAGGCTGCCCTGACAGATCTTGAGCTACGGCCAGGGAGCGTTTCCAGACGCTCAGGATGGGGAAGCAGGGAACAAAGATGCCTTTAAGCTACTTTCACATCTCCTGATCCTGGAGCAGTCTGTGTAGTGGTTGGGTCCTACACACAAAGTTAACCTGCACTAGTTGCTAACAACCCTAAGGAGCTGTTCTGACAGCAAAGGATTGCTGAGGTCCAGGGACTCCATTATCATACTTCCTTTCCCCCCACATTGAATGCTACACTACTTTCTTTGGGTTATGCATTGTGACAGAATGGCCCTATGGACAGTTGGACGTCCTAAACTGCTCTAATTTACAGTAGAGGCTGGCCAAGCACCAGGACAGGATCATGGGGGCATAAAGGTTGCTTGAAGCCAATAAGATACTTTTACCCCTTCTCCTCTTGAGCTGAACCAAGCACAGCTCTACCATAGAGCATGCTATGACCCCAAGTCCCACACAAATAGTCTTTTTGTGCCAGAGTCTAAGGGTGAAATTCCAGCCCCTTTGAAGTCATTGGCAAAACTCCCGTTGACTTCAATAGGGTAAGGATTTCGCCCTAAAATTTTGGCTTGATGTCTATTGCCAGCAAGACAAATTTTCCTGGCTTAGTGTCTGTTGCAGCTGTGGTCCACAATGCCATCCCATGATTTAAAATCTTAGGGCTCAATCCTACATAAACATAAGTAGCTTTAGTCCCATTGGTCTCAATGCAAGATTGAGATGTTAGGCAATATTCACCATCTAGCCTGCACTTGGAGTATGATCAGCAGTTATTTTGCTCAGGGTACTGTTTACAGAGATTCTAAATTGATGTACTGAAAACAATAAGTTAATTATATGTTTGTACTTGAGTTACCGATAAGCTCTCCATTTCTCCTTGTTAAGCCACATACTGAATATGCATTTATGACAAATGTTTCCAAGCCTTACAAGTGGAAAATAAAGCTCACCATGTAATGAACACCCTCTTTCTGAAATTCATGCCTGGAGTTATAAATTAATACAGAAAGGAGATATGGTTGAGGCTTATTTCAAGATGGATAGAATTTATTTAGTGTGTACAAGTGCATTTCACTCTCATATGACTACAGTACTTACCATGTCATAAATACTGCTTGCATTCAGTTTTTATAATATACATTATAGCATGGGTGGAGTGTAAGATGCATTACCTCAGAAGCAGCCCCAGGAGCCATTGTACCTCAGAGACACCCCTTCCTGCTTCCCTCTGGACTGGCAGGAGTAATAATTTGTAGCTAGCCTATACCAGCAACAAATTACAACATCCCTCTTCTGGCCCAACTGCACAGACTGGCTGTGTTGGAAAGTGGAGCCTTGGATTCACCCATTTCAACATGTTTCTTGATCACCTGCTTAACTCCTTAATTACTCCTGGCTTGGGTATCCCAGACATGCTTATTCCCAGCACAGGTGTGTCATCTGAGTCACAGTCTAGCTCATGAGTTCAAACTACATTTATTCTTTCAAATCCTTCCTTAAAGCTTTTCCAAACAACCCTACCGATGTCAGTTCACCTAAATTAGATGTGCTGTTACACCCCACTAAAAACAAACGGCAAGCTCTTAGACATCCAGGGCGATTTGAATGATTTTGTCTGGCCATTTAGACTGGAGCAGGGAGAGGGACTGTACTTTACACGTGGCTGAGAACACTGTCAGCATTTAATAAACAATAAATAATAGTACATGTATTTTTGTATTGCTTTGATGGAGTAACCAAGAGACACATAAACATATTACCCACTTAACCTAATTCAAGCCACATTTCTGATTAGGTATAATGTTTGTTCTCCCCTCTCTTCTCTCATGTAATCTAAATGAGCACCAGATTTCTCTGCTACTTCTGCGTAGAATTTTTAGTAGCCCTGGATATAACTGGGGTGTAGCTTTCCCCTAGACCTACAAAGAAAAAATCATCAAGCTGCTATAAGACTGTAGCCATCCTGATCACCACTCAATTGAGAAAGGCCTGGAAAGCTTTGAACTCTGCGCCACCCAATGGACACACATTTGTCCACAAATATTTAAGACTGAAACTTTAGCGAGGAAAGGTGGGTGAGGAAATATCCTTTATGGGGCCAACTTCTGTTGGTGAGAGTGGCAAGCTTTCGATACCCAGAGCTCTTCTTCATGGCTGGGAAACAGAAGTCGGTCCCATAAAAGATATTACCTCACCCACCTTTTCTCTCTGTTATCCTGGGCCCAGCACAGCTACAACAACACTGCATACGGTATAAGAGTGAAGCTGGCCAGCTGAAAATAACTCAGGATGCACACACAGGCTTGATCCACAAAGGACTTAGGCTAAACATTACATGCCTAACATTAGCCATACTGCCACCCAGTGAAATCCCCAGCCCAGAGTTAGGCACTCTCACTCCCTGTACAACACAGAGGGAGAGTTAGGAGCCTAAAAAGGGATTCCCAGAAGCCAGTATGCTCTACTGGGAGCTGCCCAAGCTAGCCAATAGGAAATGCCTAGGAGAGGGAAGTGGCCTAAACTATTTATCTGTGATTGGGATCCACAGTTAGGGGCCTAGCTTCACTTGGGATTCACAGCTATAACACTTACCTGGAGTTAGGCACCTAAGCTAGATCAGGTCTTTGGCACTAAAAATGGCAGTGCCTTTGCACCCAATAGCCCAGCGGTTAGGGCATTCATCCCAGATGGGGGTGACCTGTGTTCAAATCCCACCTCTGAGTGGGTCAAAGCAGGGATTGGAACTCAGGGCTCCCAGCTGATTGCCGTAACCGGTGGGTAGAGGAGGGTAGTTTCTATGTTGAAATGGTTCCACTTGTATGAAATGCTTAAATAGTCACTGGACCAAAAACAAAAGTCAGGCTGACCCAAT